AACCCTAACCCTAAACCCTAAACCCTAATCCCTAAACCCTAAACAACAACGACAACACACGCCAAACAAAGCAACACCAGCTGCCGCAACCGCTGTCGCGAGATGCTGGCTCTGGCCTTTGCCGCTCCTCCTCCTCCTACTCCTGCTCCTACTCTTACTTCTACTCGGTTTAGGGTTTAGGGCTTCGGGTATACTCCTATCCTGCTACTGCTCCTGCTCCTGCTGCTCCTGCTGCTGCTTCTGCTACTGCCGCTACACTTCTTTTACTACTGATAGCATCACTTCGGGAGAGAGCAACAGGTTTTAAACATGAATTTGGGCTCGGGTGTAAGGTTTATGAAGGATCCTGCGGCAGGGGCTTTTGGTTCTGCTCCGTGAACTTTCGATGCCTCTTCTGGGCTCAAGTCGTGTCAGCAGACACTCCAGAAGCCCCGCCCCCCCCCTCCCCCCGCCCCCCGCCTTCCCACCCTGCCCGCGCTCGAGGTCGAGCACCAGCCCTGCGACAGGGATCAGAATTGAATCGCAGCTCACTGCCAGGATTTAGGATCGGGTTTAGCGTTCTCTGCTTGAGAGATCATGGGAGCTAGCTACGCTAAGCCGGCTGTATGTTCATGATGAATATGTACTCGAGCGCACCATCCTGTACCAGTTTGATAGTAACCCGAAGCTAACTGAGGAAGCTTAGGGCGTTTGGAGCGCGTTAACCCTAAACTCTAACCCTAAAGCCCTAAACCGTAAACCGCCCTAAACCGTAAACCGTATAGTTACCCAGCCGAGAGCTCGAAACTTCGCCACAAAGCCAAAGGTTCATCACAAGCACGCAAACTGACTGTCAGGGCGGCTGGACTTTTATCGCTTCTCAACAGAATGGCCACCTTAACTAGCAACATCCATAATGCACTTACCGAAAGTAGCTATAAGCTATACCAGGTGCTACGACTGTCCCAGCTTAAACCCACTCATGGCGTCGCCGATCTCCGAGCACCCAATGCCTCTCTCGGAGGAGTCCTGTGGGCATGTCGGGGGGCCATAGATTATGGGTCTGACTAAGTCGCAGCTGCAATACGGAAGCCTTTACGATTTTACATATATATATATACATATATAATATATACATATAATATATATATATACATAATATAATGTATATACACATACAAACATACATATAGTTAGATGGCCCAAAGCCATATTCGACTTTAGGGTTGGGGGTTCAGGGCTTAGGGTTGAGGGCTTAGCGCTTAGGGTTTGGGGTTCAGGGCTTTGGGTTTAGGGCTTAGGGTTTGGGGTTTAGGGCCTTATGAGGCCCCATGAGCCATGAAGACGCCACCCTTCTTCTCAAGCCGAGAGGAACTCTTGCAGCTGCTGAAAGAGCTCCACCTGAGTGATTTCGAGGCACGGGCAGAGGTAGGAACTAGGAGTTCATCTGTGTTTAGGATGCAGGGTGTAAGGCCTAGGATTTTAGGGTTTGGGGTCTAGGTATAGGGTGTAGGGTTTTTTAGTGCTCTTACGCGGGCTTGATGGGCATGCTGTAGTGTTGCACGCATGCTTCTTTTGGCCGGGTTCACAGGCTTTGAAGTCAAACCTTGCCATGACGCCCATAATTATCCTGCGCCCCATATGGGGGGTTTCCGAAAATAGGGGACCCTGATGCGGTACCCGAAATAGTAGGATGCTTATTATAAGGACCCCCAAAATAAGGTACCCGTAATGTTCGGAAAGTCCCATATTCGAAGCTCCAAGCCCTCCCAAGGCTCCACTGTCAAAGCCTTGAGCTGTGAAGCTCTAAGACCTAAGCCGACCCCTAATCCCCTCCCCCTTCAAGAGTAGATGATCGGCGCCTTAAAGCATCACGAGGGAAGGACCTTAAAATGACGCTAAGGATGACGACACCCAAGCAAGCTATCAGCCATGCCTAAACCCTATACCCTAAACCCCAGCAAGCTATGAGCCATCACTGCAGGAACGAGATGGAGTGGGCTTCTAGTTTGTTTCGTCCCAGAATTGTGTGTTCCCTGGCTTTCGCAGTCTGCTTTCGCAGACCCTACTCGCTACACCTAACCCCCCAAATGAGACCCGATAGTGCCCTAAATTTGTCCCTCAGAGCTTAAAGCCTTAAACTGTCTAAACTTTGCATCTATCGCCCAGTGACCGTGGAAAAGGGTGCAACCGGCAACATGGGGCTTTCCGAAAATGGGGCGACCCTAATATAGTACCAATAATATTATAAGGACCCCCCCAAAATAAGGCACCCTAATTGTCGGAAACCCTAAGCCCTAAACCCTAAACCCTCAAAGCTAATTGTCGGAAACTCCCACATGCTGCAGGAAGCCTTTCAACGCTTGGAGGTCCGAAGCGTCCAGGCAGAGCCGGAAGCTTTAGGGTTTAGGGATGCTTAGGGTGCAGGGATGCTTAGGGTTTAGGGTTTGGGGGTGTTTGGGGTTGAAGGGTTTAGGGATGTTTAGGGTTTAGGGATGTTTAGGGTTTAGGCTTTAGGGATGTTTAGGGTTTCGGGTTTGGGGATGTTTGGGGTCTAGGGTTTAGGGGTGCTTAGGGTTTCGAGTTTAGGGATGTTTAGGGTTTTGGGTTTAGGGATTTTTAGGGTTTCGGGTTTAGGGATGTTTGGGGTTTAGGGTTTAGGGGTGTTTAGGGTTTAGGGATGTTTAGGGCTTAGTGATGTTTAGGGTTTCGGGTTTAGGGGTGTTTAGGGTTTAGGGTTTAGGGGTGTTTCGGGTTTAGGGATGTTTGGGAAGGGTAACATCTAGTCAAGATGAGTGCAGGTCATTGCCTCTAAGGCTTGAGTCAAATAGCCTCAGTAGGGTAACATTTAGTTTTACGGCTGAGGGTGAAGAGGGAGCGAGCAGGGTTTTGAAGGATTCGGTGTTTTTGTTATCTAAGGAGCCCGTTTGCAGTTTGTAGGAGTTTAGGTGAAAGGGTGTAGGGCTTATTATAGCGTCTCGTCTCTTGGGCTTCTTTTTCAAGGGTTCAGGGAATATCACTTCGGCTTTCTTTGATTTTTTTGTCGTGGAGAGGGGGGAGGTGGGTTGGGGCCTGCGTATGATGCTCAACAACCTTGAGCCCCAAGCCGTGACCTGTAGGAGCCTAATTTAGAACAGTTCGAGCCGATCTTCTGTGTTTGTTGCAAGGAGGGGCGGGGGGGAGAGGATCTTATCGTACAGTGGGATCGTGAGGCGATGCGATTCTAGCTTCCAGATCTCTGTAGTCTATAGTAACCAGGTTTGATTTTGTGGGCGTCGCGTGACGCAGTGCTGCGCAGCTGAAACGGCTGCTGAGCCTAGAAACCCAACGAGATATGCTCAGTATCTTAAACCTAAACGGCCAGAACCCACTCTTCTCACTCAACCCTCAATGCCTAAAACCAAAACCCGCCAAGCCCTAATACAACCGAGTTGGGTGTGTAATACACACACACGAAGTTGGAAATCGCCGTGAAGGCCCCTACAAGCCCCGAAGAACCCACTGTGCTGATGGAAGCCGCTCCCTTCAGCAGAAAGCTAGACCCGACACCCCCAAATCCAACAAAAGCAGGACTCCCTTCAACTACAGCTAAACCCTTTCAACCCTCAAACCCCTAAGCCCCAAACCCCTAACCCCTAAAACCCTAAAGCCCTAAACCCTAAGCCCCTAAACCCAAAACCCCTAAACCGCTAAACCCAAAAGAGCTGACGGCGAAGGAACTCGCTTCCATCCGATGTGAAGAGCTGCTCGAGCTGGGCCTTTCCATGGCACCTCGCCTGTTTTTTGGGTTCAGGGTTTGGGGTTTAGGACTATATAATTAGGACAAGATGTAGGGGTTTAGGATTGTAGGGTTTAGGGCTTATGGGTTTTTGTTGTTGGCGGAATTTTATAGGGCGTTTCATCGGTTTGAGAAGGGCTCAAGATGGACCCCTGAACCTTCAGCTAGAGAGAGAGAGAGAGATATATATATATATATATAGAGCGAGAGAGAGAGACAGACAGAGAGAGAGAGAGAGACAGAGAGAGAGGGAGAGAGAGTCAAAGAGAGAGAAAGGGAGAGAAAGAGAGAGAGAGAGAGTATAATGCAGTATAATATATGGCATGAGCCATCTGACAACCTACATTCGTTCTTCACTCCCCATTCCCGATTGTTAATAATCATGGGGTTGGCACTCTGCCCGGGGAGCTTGACCGGTCCCTATGCCGCGAGGGATAGAGAGAGAAATTGAGAGAAATAGAGAGAGAGAGAGAGAGAGAGAGAGAGAGAGAGAGAGCGAGAGTGAGAGCGAGAGCGCGAGATAGTGGTAGTAGTAGTATTAGTAGTAGTAGTAGTAGTAGTAGTACTAGTACTAGTACTAGAACTAATAATAGTAGTACTAGTACTACTACTAGTAGTAGTTACTACGTCGTAGTAGTAGTAGTAGTAGTAGTAGTAATAGTAGTACTAGTAGTACTACTAGTAGTAGTAGCAGTAGTAGTCGT